GAATTTTTTTTTATTTTTTTTCAGGTTTGAGTGTTCGAGCACATAGGCACATGTGTTCGAGGCCCAAAGCGAGAATTCCGATTTTCGAAATTCAACGCCAAGCCCCCGTTTTTGCGTTAAACGGGATTTAACGGGGGTCCTGGGACCCGTTAAACGGATGAACGACCGTTGAATTTCGCGCGTTCTTCATTCAAAAGATACACAGACGAAGACCGACCCGATCCCATGGTGGCACCAGTTCTAGTTGAAGTTTGGCATTCACCACGTCATCAACCCGAATCGGCACTCATACTCCCGCTCAGGGGGCGCATGCCATGCATGGCTGGACAACATGTTGTCCACGCACAACGTCGCAGTCTCCGAGCTGCATACGAAGATCAGCTGGGCTGATCTCAAGGCAGCATGGCATAAGCGGTTCCAAGTGGAGCCGCCCGAGCTTCAGGCAATCGAGAAACTTCAACGGTTCTATCAGAACGACCTTCTAAGCACAGACTGTATAACCGAGTACCAACACTTGGCATCCACGCCCAACTTGCCGTCAACCTTTGTCGCTATCAAACACTTCTTCATCAGGAGTTGTCCGGCATTGCAGAACGCCTTGACGCAAGTGAGTAGCTTTTTGATAAAGCCTCGCATATCATCGTGATGAATACCGAAGTCAAGAATTTGGGTCGTTCGTCTGCTGCGAGCCAGGGTAGCGATCAGCATCGACCGAAAGTGGTCATGGCCGCAGCAACTACAACGATCGATCCTACAAACGAGGCTGCCTTTTCTGATGAAGGAGACAAATTGTCAGCCGCCCTGCCAAACGGCGAGGACGCGACAAACCGAAGACACACACCAATTCATCCCCCGGGGCCAGACCAGCGGCTAAAAAGCCTTGGACACATTACGGTATCTCAGAAGGCGTGTACCGCATCCGTAGTAAGTACCAATACTGCTTGTGGTGCAACAGCATGGTACACGACACTGCAATATGCCCCACGCAAGTCATAGGCAAATTCCCTTAGGGAAAGTGAGCAGCGTCGAGAGTGATGCGGATGCACTCTCGACGCCTTCGGAATCAGTTGTTTCACAAGTGACCTCTCTTCATTCCGAGGCACATCAGAAAGTCGACAATCCTCTCTTATATTCTTATGAAGACTTTGCTACCCGGCTCGTTCCTTCACTGGGTTCTCAAGCTTAAGGACAAGATGTGTGTGCAGGTTCTTCTCCGTCCAACAACAACAACAATGAATCGTCTTCAAGTGGCTCTATAAGGGATTCGACGCACGAGTTCAACATAGAGGTCTTGGACCCGTTGACGTCAGAGGATTTTGCATGGCTTCCTCTCCCTTCCACATGCTGCTTGCTGGGACCGCAATGTGCATCACTATGCACCCATCTCCACACATACTTAGCCTTCTATGCACCACCACCTTCACCAACAGATGACGAAGTTGCGGTGGAGGACATCCTTGCGTATGTTAGCAAGGTGGCCCGTGAGTTTCACACGCAAATATCGATATGATATATATATATATATATATAGAGAGAGAGAGAGAGAGAAAAAAAAAAAAATTAAAAAAAATAGAGAGATGCAGAGAGAGAGAGAGCAAATAAATATTTTTTATTTTATTTTAATAAAATGGAGTTGGATTGTACTTTGTGGTTATTGTGCGTTCAACATTTTGCACGTTGTTCATGACTTGAATGGTGTTCTTCTTTCTTTGTTCTTCGCATTCTTTTTTTCTTACTCCATTGTCTCTCTATTTGTCTCCCTCTCTCTCTCTCTCTCTCTCTCTCTCTCTCTCTCTCTCTC